TTAACCCTTACCTCTCTCTCTCTCTCTCTCGCTTCCCTTCCAAACCAGTTCATCCTTTGTTCGTCAAGGTTTACACTGGAAACAGCCGCTTCACTGCTGTTGTACTTAATTAACGCGCTACCTTTCACCGTTCGAAGGCTTGATCCGACAGCCAGAAACCAGCCGTGCTTTCACCGCTTGATCATTTCGGCAAACAGCGGACGGGCCGCGCAAACTGATTCGACAAGGAGGGGGGGCTATTGTGACGCGTGTGACGGGTTGGCGAGATCGTATCGCGTCGCGATGCGGAGAAATGGCGCGCGACTCGACTCGCAACAGGATCACAAAGATCGGGCGGGCTCGTTATTCGATAAATGGTCGTTAAACGACGGTCAAAAGGCTGTCCGCCCTCTCTTGGAATTGGAGAGGATTTTCCACGACCGCTCTTGATTAACTCTGGAGAAGTAAATTTAAATTGGCGTTGTCGGCCTCGTATGGCCGAATTCGAGTGTGTATAGATTTTCATGGCAATTTCGAGCGGATCGTTTATGCTTTTTTTCTTTCTAAAATAAAGCCAAAACTGTGATTTTTGAAACGAGTAATTTGTATATAGCCTCTTTATTATTAATTGATTATTAATAATATTAATGTCTCGTTGTCGTGCTTATTTTGTCATTCTGCTGCCGTTCTCTCATTTTTGATGCTTAAATAACATCTATCTCTAAGTTTTGCAAAACCGCTATTCACATTTCTATAAGTACAATTGATCCAGCGGTGGTGTTGTAGAAATGGATACACATGGTATAAAGTGGTAGACTATTAGACGAATGTTTAGGGATCCAGAGTGATTAACATTCACCGTTCGCAACCGTTGTTCGATCAAGGATTCAATCCGAAATCGGCTGTAATGATTTTGGTAAACAACGCCTGCTAGGGCAAACAGAGGGATCGCGAAACAAGAGGATGAATAGCAATATGATGAGGTTTGCCCAGCGAATCGAATGGGATGGACGAAGGTTGTAATTTCGATTGGAGGAGGTATAGAAAGCAAAATATCATTCGCAGTGTTATTAACGGCCCTCTATCAGCGAATCGAAATGTTTGAATTTGTCGCTCGTCCCTCTCCTCCCACGCCATTATAACAATAGTTCTTCCTTCTCGGAATCAGAATAATTTTTCGTCGGAACTGATCTCAGATATTTCAACAATCTAAAATTGCATCAATAAACAATATATTCTACGATAAACGTAATCATTTATACTCAAAATACCAACCAACTCAAGTCACGTCGTGAAGAAATAAACAATATAATTCCCAAAATGGAGTGCATACGTTCACAGAATTTCTTTCATATTTTTCGTTTGTTGCATCTCTGAACAGAATATAAATATAAAACGTCCCGAGTTGTCCGTTTAGCGAAATCGCCTCGAAGCATATCCAATTCTAATCCACGAACAAACGGACGACGATAAATCGGAGATTAAACGCGTTTATTTAACGTCGGTACAAGTTGGCCACGCGTATCCGACTTCTTTATCCGCGAACGTGACATCACAATAACAACAACGAACGCAACAAGGGGCCAATTCGCACGCAACGCATCGCGGTACACGCAACGATGCGAGCACGTTTGTGATATAAGCAGCGCGTGACCGGGAAAACGGATTGGTGCAGAACAATCCACGGTCGGGAATCGATACGAGGGAGGGCGATAATTTTACTCGAAAGCCTGCTTCTCGCTCCGTTGACGACGAGGAAAATTTCGATCGAGCAAATTATTGCTGCGTACGCACGAACGTTTCTTAGACGCAATTTCATTTCTCTTCTCCCCTCGACGGCACATGAGGGATATAGTTAAATGCAAATTTAAACGCGGAACTTGGACAAATGAAAAACCGTTTTCGTGACCGTTCGATCGTATATATAATGCTAGGTGAAATAATTATGGTGGCAAATGGTGAATTATTATTAGACAAAATATATTTAATACGCTTGAATATGAGAAAAATCGTGAAAATACGTTTACCGTATTTGAAGATGGAGTGAAATGAAAATCGTTAAATGCAAATTTAAACGCTGGAATTAGACGCGGGACAAATGAATATGGCAAATGGTGAATTATTATTAGACAAAATATATTTAATACATTTGAAAATGGACGAATGGTAAAATGGTAATAATAGTGGTGAGAATTAAAATGAGGGAAGGAAATTGGAATAAATTTAATCCAAAGTTTATATCACTTTCTCTCCCTGAATCTACACAGCAGATAACCGAATAATAAATGAGTACAGTATCTCCATTATGCCCTTACACGAAAGCAGATTACGTACACAAACATAATCACCGCCGTTAAAGTTTATTGTGTTGCGCATCGTGCGCACATAATACAACGCGAACAAGAGACTTCCCCATCGATCACTCTCATATCTCTCAATCGGCTTAAGGTAAATCTACAACTACGCGAATCCGAAGATTTCGGATTAATTTCTGCATTAAGTCTCATCGAATTATCGCGTGCTGCAAACTTGATGCTCGAACAATGAATATTCGTAATTAGAGCGACGAAACTATTTCTCATTAGCTTCGAAACTTACAAGTGTACAAAATTGCATTCGATATTTGCGAGTAAAAATTATTTTCCGCTATACTTTATTGTATAATATATTCTAAAGAAAATGTATATTCAGATGCAAATACTATCTTCTCGTTAAATGATTAAAAAAATTGGATAATTGTATTTAAAGGCTCGTAAGTTTCGTAAGTAATTGTATGGAACTTTGAATAAAACGTACATTTGCGTATAATTTCATCACGACTGTTACAAGCTTGACAGTTACTTACCGCTTCAGTGTGTACAGGATGAGCAGCAAACAGCAAGCCTGTCAAGGCAGCAAATCCTGGACGCAATGATGCTACCGCTAGGCTCACCTTTGTGACCAAAACGCATGCAATGGCGTGTAGGGCAATATTCGTTGCGTGATACCAGCTTGTCGTTAATCCCGACATCAAGTAATTTAACCTGAAAAAGACAAAGACTGAATTACAATATATTTCGACAGTGAAATAACATTGTGATGGAAAATGGCAGAAATTAATATGAAATATAAAGTACGAAGATTGTAAGTATGAATCCAATATTCATCGTTGTAATTTATAATAATAAAATTCGGTTCAATTCGGTTCAATCGAATTCTCGAACAGAATATCAAGGGCAGAAATTCTAATTCCGATACTCGTAGCGTAGTTTCGTGGAAAACGGTTAATTTCGTTTGATTTCTAATTGATCGATAATTGAAACTATCCAGTCCTTCCAATAGGGACTTAAGTGAAATCAATGAATCGCGACGATAATTAGATAATTACAACTGCACGTTGTTAAAGTTTGTTCTGTCGTCAGAGGCGATTAAAGATTTGCAAAATTTTTCGAAAATACAAATTTCCGAATTGTTTAAAAATTAAATTTTCTTATGTAAAATTGTAAAAGTATTTCAACCTATTCACAATCAATTCGCAAAAATATTAATACTTTCTTACATTTTAATAAAAGTAAAAGAAAAGAAAAGAACGATTCTTAGGTATTTTTTTATAAATCTCAGAAATTATTAAAAAAAAAAAATTAAAAGAATCTATTAAAAATTTCGTTTTAATAGACAAATTGATTTAAAACTTTTCTCAACTATCTATATTTCTTTCCCATAAAAATTATCACAGCATTTCTCAAATATTTTTTTTCATAGAAATGAAATTTTCAACATGTATAATATTGACAAATTGAAATAACAAAGCAAAAGTTCGTATTTAAAAATTAATATTTAAGAAATTCTTCTTCCTATATTTTTATATTTCTCGATTTCACTATATATACATACATTGGCTTAGTTTCAATCAGTACATTGAAATAATTTATAACCAGTGAAATTAATTCTATCTCACTATGATTCTCAACCGTCCACATCATATCTCATCACGAGAGATTTAAATAAAATGATTAAACTAAATAAAAAAAAAAAACATTCTTCCTAATACCGTCCCCGTCAATAGCTTCTCCCCTATCAACTTCCCATTCGAGAAATCGGGAAACAATGGGCGCAGCCGTTTATAAGTACAGAGGATTTGAAGCGCAGAAGCGTGACGAAGTTTCCGCGGAAATCCTCTTAAGCCGACCGAGATAATCGGATTGCAGAAAACCGCTCCATACATCCACTCCCTCGCTTCTGTCCATTCACCTCGAAAGATGTACAATTTCCTTTCCTGCCTCTCCTTTTCTCGTCCCTGCCCCCGCCACGTGTTTCACTTTTAATGAAAGTGCCTTACGAAACGGCCCTCCTCCCCCGTTCCACTTTACTCCGCCACGGTTATCGATCATCGATCACCGTTTATTTCCTTAGGTAGGTAGACAACGCTCGTCGATATTGCACGGGAGCATCGATTCCAGTTATGGAGGGAAGAAACTATGGTTGGAAGGAGCGAGGCTGGCACGATAGAAGAAATATGGGGAAGGAAAATAGGTAAGAGAGGGGAGGGAGGATAACGTCAGGACGAAAACAAACACGGCGGGTGCTGACGCGGTCGAGTAATAATTTTGAAAGTCTGCCGACGGCATAAGTTGGACGCCCGTGGAGGACACGAGATTGGCCCTGTTCCAGGTGTCAAGGATCCGGAGGAGGCGTACCCTGTCCTCGCCTTGGCCCTGGATCAACCGAGGAACTTGGACGTGTCAGTTGCAAATCCGTACGCAGATTTTACTGCGAATTTTATGGGACGTCGATGGCCGATCGCGATCCAACTTTTTGGCACGAAACTGTGTGCACGTTATATATCAGAGAGGGATAATTCTTTTCGAAAAGATCTAAGGCCTCGTTTCTTTTCGTCAGGATGGGATGGCAAATTTAATTTCTGACATTTCTAATATGTTCATCCTTTAGATTCCTTTCAAGGAATAATATTCTTACCTCGACGTTCGTATGCAGGTTAAATGGCTGTCATAAATTGCCGTTGAAAATAAGTTCAGGCTAGTCGACGATCCTTAAAAATTGCATCGTTAACGCGTGTGATAGTGGTACGATGAATTGTTAGTTCTGTCGTAATGTCGAGGCTTTATGGAGATAGATGATGGCCTCGTGTAATGTTATTGAGGAATCATCGAGGAAATAATAACGTTGCGATCTCAACAGCGGTCGAAGTGGTTTTCGATGTTTTATTCGGGTATTTCGGGATCGTTCGAGGAATAGAACGAAAATTAGAGGAACGATTCAAAGTGTCATCGTTAAAATTCCAACGTTCCATCCGTGGATACGATGTTTAGCATATAAATTGAGATCACGTTTCGGTTAACGTGGTTTATTTTCATCGTGGCGCGGGGAAAGATCCGGCCGAAGATCGTGGCGGATCTCTTTGAACATAAAATATCATTTCATGAATAAATCTGTTTCTGGGGCGGCCCCTCATTCTTGACAACGAGCCACCCACAACGGATGGGTATTCACAAACGGGTGTCCTCATTCCCGGCGTCCATGGGTATGCATTTAGCAAACGGAGACCGACCAACGTTCCGAAACATTTCCCCGGCGCAATCTCGTTTCACAAGGCGCGAGGATGTACCGCCACTTGCATCGCAAAGGGTATGAGGGCTGCATATTTAGGATCTTCCTGTTCCTGCGCTTAAACAGCTTCCTTGACGCGCCTTGCCTCCGGTCTTGTTGTTGCGCCCAGACGCAACGTTGCTCCAAATTCTGCTCTCCTCCTTTGATTTCGCTTCGTTTGTTTACACGGGGATTATCCACCGAGAGACGATATCGATCTTCGAGTCGATCGTGTCGATCCAAACTCTCCAGATTCATCGAATTCGTGATAAGTTCGAGGAGAGCGTTTGAGTCGTGATTAGAATTTTTGAATCGACAATTTGTACACGCGGAATAACACGTGTTCTTGAATAATATATACTTCGAAATTCTTCGTTTCCTGAATATCTTCTCCTTCCCTCGAAATCCTTGCATTCCACGCGACGAAATCTTATATGCATGTTTGCAAAACTTATTTATTATGAATGAATTTGAATTCTACGAGGTTGAATTATAACGAAGAGGACTACGTGTACAAAATTTCCGTGGAAGGAAATTCCCCAAAGGAGGGTTCGCCAAAGATTTTTAAAACTTCGCTTCCCTTCCATTACATCCCCTGCATTTTGGATTCCCTCGAAAAGGATAGGATTCTTTATCTTACGAACGTGGAAAAATCTGGAGGGATCTGGATGAAAGAAAATTTTCAAAATTGTTGTAACGAGGAAAGAGAAAATCGAGCACACCTCTGTAATCCATCTAGATTAATGTGTCAAACGTGTTATGCGTTTCGTGCACAACAACATGCTCGATCCGAAACCGCATTCCATAAATATTATTGAATTCACCGATAAAGGGTGGAATTTAATATTAATCTATTCGAAACGAGAAGATATAAAACCGCATCGAACAATATCGCATTATGTGACATACATGCGGGATCCGTTTTAGAAATTTCCAGCGTATATATCCAGCGATACTCGTTCGATATTATGACGATCAATTATCCGGACAATGATGGAGAAATCGCATTTGAAATGACGTAAACGTATCCCACTAGCGAAACGAAACGACCTATTACGCGTCGCTCCAACGCTATCCAACGCTAATTATTGATTTTACAGGCCTGAAATGATCAATCGGCGGATCCGTTATATCTCACTGCTCGATACGTCAAACTGTCTGCGACAAGTTGAACCTCGGATTTAATTTCCAGATTTTCTTCGATGAAAAGCCACGATTCACGAACGGTCTGATTTACGATGAAGCGGACACGCGATAGCTATCGAATTTCGCTTCCAATCGATAGTCTCCAATCTCTTGATAATAATTCCTTACACGAAATCGAAAAATTCAAAACGCGACGCGACAAATGCCACCTCCCTCGCGTTTAATTCCATTTTCATGGAGAATAATTAATTGGAAAGAGAACCATCCCCTTCAAGACGAGTCAAATCCTTTCACAAATGAACAATTTCTACACCAGTAAACGATCTTTCGACCATCTTTAGGACACTGTTTCGTGCATCAATGCAAAATCGAATTGATTTGTGGTGATAGGAAAGACGAATAATTTAGATAGAAAGATGAGAAAGGCGGAGGAGGGTATCGCCAAGACGAGAGGATCCACTTGAACGCCATTCACAACGTAATTAGGCATTCAACCAATTCGGTCTTAAGCGCTTAATCGGCTTTGTTTCAACCTGACATCCTCTTAAACGCATGGCAAGCGAGCCCGGCCCGACTTCCTGGGTTCGTGCCACGAAGCCGTTACTTGTTGACAAACGGCGGTTAACATACTTTCGCCGGTCAAGAAGTGCTATCCCCCTCCCCCTCCCCCGTGAAATATTAAAACGTCGAGAACACGGTTAAGAAGTTGATTAAATTACCGTGGCCAGCCAGGAAACTCGAAAACGTGTTTACATCTTGAAGCGGGTTGAAACCTTGCCGAGGCGTATTGCTCGAACGCGTCTCGAAAACTGTTCCACGTTTCGTACACGTTGATAAACAAGCCGAGTCACGCAATTTCACGGCAGGTTGTAGTAAATATTTTTCAACCTCGAGGACGGGAGAAGAATGATAAGCGAGTATGAAATGTATTTTGACGAAATTTGACGTTTCGACGCTTCGCCGTAAATGCGTTCGAAGCATATTTTTCACACTGTACGCGTGATTTATCCTTTGTAATATTGTTTTGAAAATAGGCTGTTTATGCTTAATTCGAATAGTCGAGTTTGCTAGAATTAGAAGATACATGTACCGAATACATGCACGAGAGAATCTTTGTGCATTTATCGTATATTTAAATAAAAATATTAAATATATATTATTTAATTATCTAACAATTGTCACATAAAAATTCTAAAACTTATCGTTCACAATGAATTATTAATCGTTAGAAAAATCTTCTTTCTCGCTTGCTTCCTATATCGACATATATCTTCTGAAGATTTACCGCGAA